GGGGGGGGGGGGCGTCGTACACAGGGAAAGACGGATTTCAAAGCCACCAGAAGGCAAAGGAAACTGCGATGAAAGTCTTGGTAAACTTCACCAGACAAAGATACTGCTCTCAGGATGTTTGCAATCTCAAGCAGCAGGTGTCAATCATCAATAAGAGCAGCATTTTAAAATATTCATGTGCAGACTTCCCTTCCAGACTAAAATTGGTGGGAACAGAAAAAGTTAAGGATAGGATCCGGCTCTTGAGAGGATCCCACTGTGATAGGAAGCTGCAGTTATAAAAACCAGGAAAATGTTTTATTTCTAAGTGAGGGTGACACGGTCAAAGTACGACGGACTGGAAGTAAAAAAACTCAGGTTCCGGTTTGGGCTCTACCTTAAACTATCTTTGAGACACTGGACAATTCAAATCTTATCTCTGGATCTGAGTTTGCAAATCTGTGAAATGGGCGAAATGGGTCGGTTGGTTTCCTTCCAGCTTCGCAAGTTACGGCTGCCCGGAAAGTGCATTCTCCCTGGCTAGAGGAGCGCACGGACTTGCAGGGCTCGGCAGGGAGACAGCAGGAAACCCGGGCTCACGACAAGGCCCCGGAACTGGGCCCGACCCTAGAAAAAGAGACAGGACTGAGGACAAAGGCCTGCCAGCTTACCTGCGTCCTGCCGACTCCCCAGTCAGCCGAGTGGAGCCCGCAGCCTCAGCTCACTGCCACCCCCTCCAGCTCAGGGCCCCGGGCCCGCACAGCTCAACCCAACCAACCATGGCCCACAGCCCGCACAGCCTGCATGCAGACCCGTAACCGCCGCCAGCCCATCCTCAAGCACAGACGCAAGCGCAAGTACAGGCGTCTTGGAGCCCCGCCCCCGGGTTCGCCCCGGGCAATCTGGGACTAGTAGTTTACCTCTAGAGAAAGGTGCTGAGGCGGTCACGTGATAACCCCACCAATCGGCGAGCTTCTTATTGAGGCACCGCCTGGATTTGGGCCAATGAGAAGTCGGCTTCATTTTCCTCCGGGCTTGGGAGAGTGGCAGTCATGGCGCCACCCGTGAGGTACTGCATCCCGGGTAAGTGAGGGGTGCCCATAGCGAGTCCTGGAGAGGGACAGAGCAGGAAGGTTGGATGGCAACAGTTTCTGGGCACCCGTGGCTGACGCAGCGTTTTTTCTTGCAGGCGAACGTCTGTGTAACTTGGAGGAGGGCAGCCCAGGCAGCGGCACCTACACCCGGCACGGCTACATCTTTTCGTCGCTTGCTGGCTGCATGACGAAGACCAGCGAGAACGGCGCGGTAAAGGGGGCGGCCTCCCATCTCCTCTCTCTCTGCCTTTCTCTCAGGCTGCCTTTCGTTTCGTGGTCCTTAGGCAAGGGCACTGTCGACGCATCTTTAGTGCCTCAGCAGGAAGAGAGGAAAGTTGGTCTCTTCCAGCTGTGGTCCCTGCTGCGGGGCACTTAGCCAGCAAAGACCAGCTGTGTTGGGCACGCTTGATTGTGTTGCTGACACTCGGAAGGATGCTGGAGGAAGAGCGGAGGCGAGCTCAGCCCTGCGTGAGCTGAATCCTGTCCGAATGTCGCCTACCTCTCTGGCTTCAGCCAGATCCCCACCTCACTCTGTGCAATATAGCCATATAGGCTTCTTTCAGCATCTCTAATGCTCTAAGCTCTCTCCGGCCACAGGGCCTTTGTGTGCACACCATCTGTCCGGAACACGCTCTTCCCCTCCTTAGCCTATTTAATTCCTACCTATCAATCCTTCAGATGGCCTAAGTATCACTTTCTCAGAGAAGCCCTCCTGGACCCACTCGTTGAGGAAATTAGTTTTGTTTTTTGTTTGTTGTTTGTTTTGTTAAACACAAAAAATTGTGTTCCTTTCCTTCCAAGCACTTAGCTAAGTATATAATTAAACACTGAATTGTATGTTTCCCACTAGACTCTTTCTTTACTTGACTTTTAAGATTCATGAAAGCAGGCCTCACCCCCATACTTTCAGTGCCTAGCAAGGTAAATGCTCAATAAACACTTGTTGAATAAACGCGTAATATTGTCCTCTCTAGTTCAGAGCCTAAGGCAGTGTTAACTCAGGATCAGATAAACAGCCTTTGAAGGAGCAGCTTAAAGACAGGTAGCGTAGTAGAAAGAGGATTCAGAATTGGAATGCTTAGGTACTGGCTAACTATGCCTTGATTCTGCTTTAAGTAAGAAACAGACTCTGGCTTTAGGTTCTTCCTCATCTGTAAAATGAGAGGCTTTTCATTCAGTTTTGGGAATGCCCTTAACCTTCCTAAGTTTGTTCATTTCATAAATATATATACCTGTTGAGCCTGTTCATATGCCAGGCTCAGTGCTGACCTCTAGGGATATGGTAATACACATGGTCTCTGCTATCATGGAGCACAGACACAAATTGTAAACAAAATAAGTGCTCAAATGAATGTATGGTTACAAATGCAATGACTGCTTTAAAAGAATACTACAGGATACCATGAGAACGTGTTATAAATAAACTCAGCCTAGTCAGCGCAAGTGACATTTAACCAATCTAAAGGACAAATAAGGAGAGCTCAGTCCTGGCAAAAAGAACAGGTTGAACAGAGCTCCTGAGATGGGAAGAAATTTAATGAGTTGGTAAAACTGAAAGAAGGCCAGGAGAGCCGAAGCCTAGTGAGCAAGGGATAGATTCATAAAAGATGAAGTTCAAAAATACTATCTATCTTATACCAATAGCCAATATCACGGTCAAAGAGAAAACTCTACAAGTATTCCCCTAAACCAGAAGTAAACAAGTATAGCCACTATTTTATAACATTTACTTGGAAATTCTAGCCTATACAATAAAATGAGAAATAGAAAGAAGCAGTATAAATTTGGAGAGTCAAATTATCCATGATTATAGGCAAGAATTGTATACCAAGAAATTCCAAGAAAATCACATATGAAAAACCTGTTAGAACTAACTTGAAATGGTTAGATTATGTCTTCTAACAGCATTCTTTCTGTGACCCTTCTATTTTCTAAAACTTCCAAGGCTTTCTGCTCTGGGTTACAAGCGAATCTGTAGTCCACCTGCCCTCATGTCCTCAACTGTGGACCAAGGCATTCCTGTATTACAGTCAAGCCACAGATACCTTTAGCCAGGATACTCGTGTTTTATTGTTTTCTTCATAGCTTCCTGTTGTGTCTGTGATGAGAGAAACAGAGTCCCAGTTACTGCCAGATGTGGGAGCTATTGTAACCTGTAAGGTAAGTTAGTTCTACCTCTCACTACTTAGGATACCCACATCCAATGCTGAAATCATGATCCTTGTAGAACTGCACTCTTCAATATGGTATCCACTAGCCACACATGGCCATTTAAATTTAAGTAAATTAAAATTTAAAATTTATTTATCAGCTTCGCTAACCACATTTCAAGTTCTTAATAGCCACGTGTGGTTAGTGGTTGCCATTTTGGTCAACACAGAACATTTCTATCATCACAGAAAGTTTTACTGGACTGTGCTGCTGTAAAGATTTCTAGGGTAATGATCAAGGCAGCCAAGTTCAGGTTTGCATGGTTCTTTCACAAAACAGGTTCCCTGAGTATGTAGTGTTGTTTGTGTGGGAAACAGGGGCTCCAAAGGGTGGTAAGGACGCCTACCGTAATATTTCCTGAATATCTGAAGTTAGACCTTTTTCTGTAGAAAAGTGAAAGACTTTATACTATAGTATTCCTGTTAAATGTAAAGTCTTTTAGGATGTTTCATGGGAAGTACAAGTTAATGCTGTACTGATCAATAACTGTAGTACATCATCCCACCCTCTGCCAGGTTACATTCACTTGGAGCTCTTAGTCTCTCTCTTTATAACTTGCTCCAGCAGAAAAATCTATGCATAATTCTGAAAATAACTGGACAGGCAGTGATCCAAATAATTATGCAGCAGCTGAAATGTAGACTTAAATTCCATCCACTTTATAGGCCTTTAGTAAGACCTGTTAAAGGTCTAGATTTGCTATAATGCCTTGTGTCTATTTATGTTAGACATCTGTATTTTAAAAAGTCTGTACTGTGCTATTTTTTTTTAAATATGTCTTTATTGATTTCAGAGAGAGGAAGGGAGAGGGAGAGAGATAGATAGAAACATCAGTGATGAGAGAGTCGTTGATCGGCTGCCTCCTGCACACCCCCCACTGGGGATTGAGCCCACAACACAGGCATGTGCCGTGATCTCCTGGATCATAGGTTGATACTCAGCCACTGAGCCATGCTGGCTGGGCATATACTATGCTATTTTATTTGATTCCTTCGGTAACGCCATTGGCCAGAGTGGCTGTTATTCCACTTTATGCAAGGATAAGTAGAAGTTAACTTACCTTAAGTCCTATACTTAGTAGGATTGCTTGGACTGAAATCCTGGTAGTTCCTAGTTTATTGCTGCCTCCTTGAGTTGACAACTGCTAATACTCTGATGCTGATCTTTTCTCTGTTCCACAGGTTTCTAGCATCAATTCACGCTTTGCCAAAGTACACATCCTGTATGTGGGGTCCACACCACTTAAGAACTCTTTTCGAGGAACTATCCGGTAAGAAGTATTCTTTTTTTTTTTTAAATATATCTTTATTGATTTCAGAGGGGGGAAAGGAGAGGGAGAGAGAGAGATAGAAACATCAATGATGAGAGAGTCATTGATCGGCTAAAGCCCACAACCCGGGCATGTGCCCTGACCGGGAATCAAACCCTGATCGCCTAGATCCTAGGTCGACACTTAACCGCTGAGCCACGCCCAGCCGCGCAAGAAGTATTCTTGTCTTCACATTTGCCTTNATCAAACCCTGATCGCCTAGATCCTAGGTCGACACTTAACCGCTGAGCCATGCCCAGCCGCGCAAGAAGTATTCTTGTCTTCACATTTGCCTTAGCACCTGGAATAAGATTGGAATTTTTAGGAACAATTTCAGTTCCTCCTCCTGTTTATTTCTCTCCTCTTTGTACTTTGATTCGCCCCAGATAGTGTCCTAAGAAAATACTGTAATATATGAGTTGGGACAAAAGGAAAATATTAGTGAGACAGGGCTTAAGAACAAAGCAGAAAGAACTGAGCTGAGCTAGAGATTAGCAGTGTGGGATGATTCATATCAAAGTAGAAAGCATTTTAGGAAGTACCTTCCTTTCTTGAATTTTATATAGATTAAACCCAAGGATTCTAGGACATTACAAAGGTTAGTGGATAAAATGGTAGATTTTTTTTTTCTCCTGTGGATTCTTTGAGAAGGGACAAACAGTTCTTGTGAGCCAGGTGATTTAACTTTTCTGAGCCCCTTTCTATCCTTAGCATTCTGTGCAGTTCTATATTGCTTCTGTTCAGACTCTCCTAAGGCAGCAAACTTCCTTATCCTTTCTTGCCAAATCTGATCTGCTTTTTTCTAGTCAGAGGTATTGATCCTGCTGCTCTATGTGATCCAAGAATGTGAAATGTGGTTTTCTCCTCTCTGAGGCCTGGGGATGCTTCTCTACCCTGCTCCTCTCAGTAGCAGCTGGGTCCTAATTATGACTTGATATTTGCTCTTATAGCTTTTTGTCTGCTAGGCATCTGAAGGATAATTCTTTATCACAGATAATTAATCTTTCTGTTATTTTTTTTTTTTTTTATAGCAAGGAAGATGTTCGAGCTACTGAAAAAGACAAGGTTGTTGGTTGGTTCCTTTGGGGTTTTTTTGGCTTTAAGACAATCCTTTTAAGTTATTCCAGTGAGTTTTAAAGACCTGTGGGATGTGGAGTCCAAAGAATTTGAGGGTGTTCCCTACTGGAAAGTGTGGAATTCACCTCACTGTCCGTTTCCTCTCCATATGAGTTTTGTTCACTCTGTTGACCAGAGCAAGGCTGACTTGCTCTTTGCCTTTGAAGCCAGGTATTTATTCATTGCTGTTTCCTCAGACTTACTCTGGACTCTTTCAGAGCCACCTTTTGCCCAAGTCAGGTTCCTGATCAGGTTACAGGATTCAGAATCTTTCATTTATATGATGATGCCATAGAAGCAATAAAAGTTGTTGGTTGACTTGAGTAATGATGACTTCTACCCTCTGGGATTAGAAAGTAGACTGATTCTACCAGAGGGATTAATAGTTTCTTATAGGCCTAATTTAGAGCTTTCATGTAACATTCCTGTTCTTTCTTTACAGGTTGAAATTTATAAGAGTTTTCGCCCAGGTGACATTGTCTTGGCCAAAGTGGTATCCTTTATTCCCAGCAGAATTGTGATCATTTGTCAAAAGAAGAAATGGAATTAGAGGAACAGCTCATGTGGCTATGGGAGTGAAGACTTTTAACCCTTCATTTTCCTTCACAATGTTATGTGACTAGATCTCCCTAGGTGATGCACAGTCCAACTACCTCCTGACCACTGCCGAAAATGAACTAGGGGTGGTGGTGGCCCACAGTGAATCAGGTGAGTTGGTCCATGCTTCCACATGTTTACCTTTCCCTGGAAGCTGTGATTTGAGATTAATCCATTGTTTTCTTTCGTTTCCCTTGTTTTATAATTACTTAGGAAGTAATGTGAATGTAGATACTGCTGAGATTAGAAAGATGCTCCTCATATAAATCTAAGGAAAAGGCAATAACTCCTGATCCCTCCATAAGTCAGTGGAATAAACAAGGTTCCTTTCTGTATGAGGGAAGGTTCACTAGGTACCTTGGTGACACTTTAGTTCATATGCAACTGAAAAGAGAAGGAATTCAGGCAAATATTTTGGGTATCAGCTCCAACACCAGCTTTTCCCTTTTAGGTGTCCAGATGGTTCCCATCAGCTGGTGTGAGATGCAGTGCCCTAAGACCCACACTAAAGAATTCCGGAAAGTGGCCCGAGTACAGCCTGAATTCTTGCAGACCTAAGAAGTCACATTTTACCCCAAGGAGGGGGTAAGCTGTTTCCAAGAGTACATGTATGAAAGTAACAGTAAAATGCCATTGTCTTTATTCAAATACCTGGGGTCATCCAGCAACCAGCTCTAGAAAAGTCTGCCAGAAACTGTAGGTAGAACACTTTTCTTGTGAACCTTTCAATGGATTTCATTCTCTTGAGTGATAAATTTCTCTTTTGGAGGCTCCATAAACAAACTGTATAATGTTGGAAATAACCTATTCCTTCCGACAGTCTTATAAATATGTATTTTTGCTGTGACAGAGAAAACATTTTTATTAAAAAGATTTTATGGCTTTTATTGTCTTAAGTAGGGAAAGGAATCTAAACGGTGTCATGACATTTGGAGTAGGGGTTTGCCTGGTGGCATCCATTAACTGACGTGTCAAGTGCTTGCTTGCTCTGGACAAAGCCTCATCTCTAATCTTTTTTATATTTTTTATGTTCCCTTTTAAGTACTTCCGCTAATTGAGTACCTACTATGTGCAAGGCACTGGTTCCAGCACTTTATATACATTTCCTCATTTAGAGAGACTATGGTTTAGTGAAAATTATAGGACACATGTGGTGATTCAAGTAGCATGTGAGTGGTTCTGAAGTTACTTGGTAATCATAGTGTTACTGATAGAGTGAGTACTCGGAATATTTGTTAAATCTGAATTGAAAACAGGGACAACACACTATCATGTGAGGAGATCAGGAAAAGATCTGTGACATGAGGTAAAAGGAATTAAAGATCTTAGATAAGTGAAGTGAAAATATTCAAGGCAGAGAGAATCCCAAGCAAAGTGCAGAAACAGAAATGAACATGTAAGTTGGGGATGGCATGAGAGTTAAGTATGGAGAGGTTGCAAAGGGAATGGATGGAATGGTGAATTATGAGATATCACTTCTTAAGGTGTTACTCAAGGATCCCACGTCTTCTCTGTGTAGCAACAGTGATTGAGGGTGAGCTTTGGAGTCAGGCCTCTAGTTCTAGCCTTGAGCATGTTAGATGGTTTTGTGTGTGTGTTTTTAATTAAAAATTCTATTCAGATAATGGTAGGTCCACCTTGAGTATATTATGCTAAGTTAAGTACGTCAGTCAGAAAAAGCTAAGAACCATATGATTTCACTCATATGTGGGATATAAAACTGAAGCTCGTGGACACAAACAGCAGTGTGGTAATTGCCAGAGGGAAGGGGGTGGGTGGTGAAGGGGTCTTAATGTATGGTGATGGAAGAAAAGACGACTTTGGGTGGTGGGCACACAGAGCAACATACAGATGTTATAACATAGAAACCCACACCTGAAACCTGTATGTTCATATTGACCATTGTCACCCCAATAAATTTAATAAAATTAAATTTAAAAGATAACGGTAGGTCCGCATGCAGTTTTAAGAAATAATACAGAGAGATCTCTTGTACACTTTGCCCAGGTTCCCACAATGGTAACATTTTGCAAAATTACACCATAACGATAAGGATGTTGATATTGATACTTGAACAAGTTATTTTTATTTCATTAAGTCTGTTTCCTCATGTGAAATAGTGTGACCTTATAGGATTATGTGAGGAAGAAATGCATAAAAGTGCTCAGTATATGCCAATAGTATTTTTATAGTTATTAAAATACCTGATTGCCTTCTGTGAAGTATCTACTAAATGTCAGGCCATATGTTGGACACTTAGATATAATTTGTTTAATCAGCTCCCTACTGATAGGTATTTTAAAACTTTACAGATTTTTCTTTCACAATGCTGCAGAGAAAACACCTATATCTTTGTGCATGCCTGATTCTTTTACAAAACAGATTTCTAGAAGTGGAATGGTGGGTCAAAGAATATGCACATTTTCAATTTTTATTAGATTCTCCCTATTGCCTTGCAGAAAGATTCTACCAGTTGATTCTCTCAACAACAGTGTTAGTCATTTTACTTATCTCAGAACTTCACAGTGACCCTGGAAAGTAGCAGTCATTTCCGTTTTAAAGAGAAGTTAACTAAGGCTTAGAAAAATTAACTTTTCCTGAATGACACAGACATCAAGTGGCAGTACAGTAGTCAAACCCAGGTCTATCTTACTGTAAAGCCCAGGTTTTCTCCTGTACAATGCTACCTCCTTTTCTAAGCGTTGAACAGAACCTTCAGCATGTAATTAGAGGCTTTCTAAATTGACATTGTTTCATTAATTATGAGTGCTTGTTGTACATCATTTATTCATTTAATAAATATATATTGAGCCTGGCCAGCATGGCTCAGCGGTTGAGCATCAACCTAGGATCCAGGAGATCTCTGTTCAACTCCCTGTCAGGGCACATGCCCAGGTTGCGGGCTCGATCCTTAGTAGGGGGTGTGCAGGAGGCAGCTGATCAATGACTCATCATTGATGTTTCTCTCTCTCTCTCCCTCTCCCTTCCACTCTTTGAAATCAACAAAGACATAAATAAATAAATAAATGAATGAATAAATAAATAAATAAAGAGAGAGAGAGAGAGAAAGAGAGAGAGAGAGAGGGAGGAACTACTCTACCCACCANAATAAATAAATAAATAAATAAATAAATAAATAAATAAATAATAAATAAAGAGAGAGAGAGAAGGAGGAACTACTCTACCCACCGCTGCACTGTTCCAGGGACTAGGGGATAAAACTGAACATGATAGAATCCTTTCCTTGTGGAGCTTACATTCCAGTGAGGGGAGACAGATAATAAGTAAATAAATAAATGTTTTAACTTCAGATGGGGAAAAGTGTCCTAAAGAAGAGCATTTGAAATAATTGGATAGTAGCCTTCTCTGATCTAGTGCAGACCAGGTTAGCTGTTCTCATCAACCATCACTAGTGTATTACAAGTTAGTTATGTGCCTGTCTCCCCTACCAGCCTGAGGTTTTAGGGCAGGATTCTTTTGTCTATCTTTGAATCTCCAGTTCCTGGTACTATGACTAACAGCAAATACTCAATAAAAAATGTTGGTGTGTACTCAGAGCTGACTGAACACCTGTGCCCAAACAGTAATGTTTAGTGATGGTGATATTTGCTAATCTAAAATTTGTTCTAGGAATAAGGATATTCTTTCTGTGCCTTGGAATAGTGATTTTCGGCCTGGGTTAGGTAAACATCAGAATTGCTAAAGCTTTAAAGCGGGGAGCAGGCGGGAGACACAGGTGCCCTAGCTCTCTGCTTTCACATCTCATGAGATGAACCCAGAGCAAGTGGTTGGGTATTTGGGGGGGGGGGG